AATAAAAGAGGAGCAAATGCTTCTGCTGAAGTTTTTCGAGATAAACATATTCAGCTTTAATGAAGCAAAACAAGACAGAGGTATTGCAGAATATTTGCTACACTTTATTCATACGACTAGCTATGATAAATCACGATAAATTTCGATTCTATTTCATGCGACATGGCGTAACAAGCTCACTATCACTACTGATCTATCTGAACTGACGGACTGACAGTCGACCGTGCCATATACACGTTCAGACTTGCCTTTGAGTACGTCAGGCTGGCCGGATGAACGAACATATTTTCGATTTTTTTCGGCCGCCTGAACAGTCTTAACTGACAGATCGACCGGAATATATACACGTTCAGGCAACCGGTCTTCAGTCGGACTGTTCAGTTCGAACTGACAGGCCTGCCGGACCGTGTGTAGCCGGCTTTAGGGACTTAGGTGTCATATTTGATGAAAAGTTGACATTCGTGGAACGTGCAACACATCAATAATGTTTCTATTAAGGGTGCTAAAAAGTTGGGCTAATGAGAAATTGCAAATACTTCTCTCTTGATGCTACAAAAATGGTCTACTGCTCTTTGGAAAGGTCAATATTGGAATATTGTTCGGTTGTCAGGAACACCATTTTTTTCAAATTCGTTCCCAAACATTGGAGCGAGTTCAACATAGGTTCCTGACAGTGTTGCCAGATCTCACGATTATTCGTAAGATTACACGATTTTGGCCAGAATTTCACGGTCTCACGAATGAGGTAGCAATTCTTACGAATTCTCTCTGTAGTAATACAAATCAATAATCAAATATAATGTAAACGAAAATAATCGAAATAAAAAATCTACTATACAATATTTAGTTATGTTACGCCGTTCCTGGTACATGCGCGGCCAAGAACACTTAACCTAGGACTGCTTATTGAGCTAAAAGTGTCTGCCAAGTCCACGAGACCCCACTATTTGTGACGTCAGCTGCAGACCTCAACTCTCAAACGAAGTTATGAACCTTGAAATTACTTTTTCTAAATTTAAAATTCCCAAAAAAAATAACTCACAACCTCAGCCTGAATCACAAGTAATCCATCAAGGTCTGCGGATGCCGTTATAGACTGTCAGATAGTGACAGATTTAGGTGCCCCGTTTTCGCATACAAGCCTCGAAGAGGGTTGAAAAGTACATCGATTTTGAGTAAGATGAAGGTATTTTTACGAGTAGCTCCTGGGGATAACACATGGAAAATTCGCTTTTACTTATGTTACCCTAAAATGTAATTTTCCATTTGCGACACTCATCAAGCCAATATGTTTTCTTGCTACCGACGTTGTAGATTTTCATCCTTCCGATGGGCTTGTGTGGAAGAATAATCGCCCAAAATCTCGTTTTTTCCTTAAGCCGGCTACACACGGTCCGGCAGGCCTGTCAGTTCGAACTGAACAGTCCGACTGAAGGCCGGTCGCCTGAGCGTGTATATATTCCGGACGATCTGCCAGTTAAGACTATTCAGGTGGCCGGAGAAAAATCAAAAATATGTTCGTTCATCCGGCCGGCCTCCCGTACCCAAAGGCAAGTCTGAACGTGTGTATGGCACTGTCCGCCTGTCGGGCCATTGGGCTATCATTTCATATAGTTTCAGTAGTGAGCAGTGAGCTTACGCCATGTCACGCGGAATAGAAAACAGGTGTTTGGCGGAATTTATCGCTATTTATCATGGCGAGTCGTGCCTGCGGCAAGCCAAATCGAAAAACTTCCACGACCATGGCAAGAAACTGGTAGAAAAATGGAAGGAAATCGATTTTCCTACTGTTCTCACAAATATGTATACTAGTACTAAACCAAAAAGTGCTTATAACGCGTCGTCGTCAGTAGAGGTCGTGATGATTGAGACTGAAGAATCAGATACGCCTGAACATTTGTAGGGTCATCAGTCCATCCGGCAACCGGCCTTCAGGCGAACTGTTCAGTTGAAACTGACAGGCCTGCCGGACCGTCTGTAGCCGGCTTTACAAGATTACGACCTTTAGCCACCTGCAACACCCCCTTCTTTGTTTTACGAAGCCAGGTTTAATTAAGTAATTCTTTTATGAACACGGCTTGCGAGAAAATATGGGCACCAGAACATCTTCCATTTCTGTTATGGAAAATCGAATTGTCCATACGTTATCCTCGTAAAAATACCTTCATCCTACTCAAAATCGATGTACATTTCAACCCTCTTCGAGGCTTGTAGGCAAAAATAGGGCACCTAAATATGTCACTATCTGACGGTCTATTTCCACTATCAGCTGCTCATAGTGGTGATGTCACTCGCAGACCAGTTGCCGGCTCGAGAATTGCCGAACGTACGCCTTATTAGAATGAGCAATCCTGCGGATAGTGAAAACGAGGTTCAACTCTCAAAAACACCTGTTAAAAAACGGAAAAAAGAAGGATATAAGATTTAATAATAAAATGTTTATTTCTTATGGATGTAAAATTATGTTTACTTCATCAAAAATCTATAAAAGAACATTGTTGTGCTTTATTTTCTTACAATATTAAGCAATTTTTAATCTCACGATTTCTCAGAATTTTTCTTTCTCGATTCTCACGAAATGTTTCTATTTCATCTGGCAACACTGGTTCCTGAGAGTTTGTGCATTCAAAATTTACTATTAATGGTCATGAATTATTACAGTAACATAGAACAACAGCTGATGTTAACTCCTTTGAGCAAACAACGCCGGGATATCTTTGGTTATATTTTTGTTTTCAAGATTATCAATGGTCTAATAGATTGTCCTGTTCTCTTAAGTCAGACCAGCTCAGAGTGCCATATTATCAGGGTCTACGACACCAATTTACCTTCAATGTTCCTTACCATAGAATCACTAGTAGAAATAATAGTCTTTTGGATAGGTATATAAATGTTGTTAAGAAATTGGATATAGATATATAGACTACAATCATTCAGAAATCGCATTCGAGAGCTTCTACGATGTATTCCTTGATATTTTAAATAAATCAAAAAATTACCAAGGAACCAAATTACCAACACCCATAAAGGGTATAAAAATAAACCCTGGATAACAACAAAATTCCATCAAAAAATGAGATAAGATGAAGAAAAAGCTTTTTACATACTCTAATGAAATAGACAAAAAAAATTATAAGAAATATCCGAAATAACCTTAACGCAAGAATTAGGAAATGTGAACATGATTACTACAAAAAAGAAATAGGAAAGAGTGGGAACAACATTACAAAAATATATAAACTCATCTCAGAAGCTACCAACGAAGGCAAACCCAATTCCAGTTATAAATTACATATAAAGGATGATGATAGTACATACTGACAAAGACATTATTGTGATGAGTATTTCACTAACGTTGGTTTAAAAAAGCTAAGTGATATTAAACTCCAAGGAACAACATCAAAAATTAACTTTAGCTCAAATTCATTTATATTTTCAAAACCGGTGAGTAGGAATGAAATAGACCGCATAAACCCTTCAAAAAATAATTGCGCCTCTGGTCCAGATGGTATGAGTACCAAAATAATAAAACTGGCTCATCTCCATCTGATAAAACTCTTTAATCCACATCATAAATTTACTATTCAGTACAGAGTATAGGCAAGGTCCCTGGTTCAAGTCCTTGATTTTTACCCCAAACTAGAAAACATGTAATAAATCGAATATTTCCAATTTTCAGACAAGTGATAAATAATTTATCAAAAATTTTCGAAGGGTCTTAAAAATACCCTTGTGAACTCCTTTCAATCTAATAACATTTTTTCAATAATCAGTTTGACTTTAGAAACAGTACTGGGACTAAACATGCCATATATGAATCAACAACCCAGATATCAACACGCCTCAATAAGAACACTACAGTTTTTAAATGTCTTAGGGCCTGTATTATAAAACACTGAACCGATGGTTGAGTTTCAACTTTCGGTTGAATCCTATCAATTTGCATGGAGTTAACCGAAGGTTGAAACTCAACCATTGGTTCAGTGTTTTATAATACCGGCCATTAAACACCTATGGGGTGAGGGAGGACCGAGTTGCAGGTCTTCAAACACTACCTGACAGCAGGTGGTAAAAATAGAGGACACATAAAGTAATCCTCAGCATTTCTCAGGGTACCATGGAAAGCAGTCTATCAACTTTGTTTTTAAACACAGATACTGTAGTGGCGCTAACAGTCTCTGGTTGCAGTTTGTCCAAGAGGGCTATGTTCCGATATCAACTGTCAGTACTGAATTTACTGGACGCTGTTCCGATATTATTTTCAGTACACTGAATTCAGTCGATTCAGTACTGAATGACCACAAGAGTACGCTGTTAAAATCGGAACGGCAAATGACAGTAAAATCAGCACAGTAAATCCAGTACTGGCAGTTGATATCGGAACATAGCCAAAACCTTCGATGCAGAAGTAGGCCCTCCCTATATACCGCTCTTTAATTCTCTTTCTTGAGTTTTAGGTTATGGCAAATATCTGTATTGAGGGGGCCTCACAGTGACATTCTTGGAATATTTTTATTATTCTGTATTTTTATTACTCTAGTTAGTCCTTGATAGAATAACTGAATGTTGTCTGTTAAGAGAGCACATCTGTTTTTCCTGAATATTATTGTAATTTTATTGCGTGAAGGCCCGTTGATGAATAAATACATGAATAATTAAATATTTGGTTTCTTTCACAGATGCAAGATTTTCTCAAAGTATCACTAATTTTTACATTCTGAATCAACTCGTTTTAATATTTTGAACCTCTATAATATAAACTAATTGGTACCCTATCTAAATAGAAATTATCAGTTGAACGGTTCGATGTACTTATATCCAGTCAACAAGTTTTTCATCACAATAAACAAATTCCCACCAGTGTTGTAATAATAATATATAGAATTTATAAAATTGCCCGAAACTTTTTGGGACTAGTTTTGCACCTAACTGCAAAATTCTCAGCGGTAAAACTACCTAGTTTGTAACAAGAATACCAATGTAAAAACTAGAATACATACTTTGCAAAGTACTTCTACAGGAGTAGACATCTTTTTTTCGCTGATTTTCTCGTATTTCTGTTTTTTGGTCGCAGCTTTCAGGCCCTGCCAGGGCAAACAGCCCCTGTTGAAGTACATTAGGACATAACCCAAGGATTCCATGTCGTCTCGTCGGGATTGTTCGATACCCAAATGTGCATTTATGGATGCATATCTGAAATTATACAATTTGTGTAACTTTATCATGAGCAGAACTGATCGGTTCTTACCTGGCAGTTCCAGTTAAATTCTTATCCTCTCTGTACATAATGTGTTGACGTGTACGAGCGTCTCTGAATTTTTTGGCCAATCCGAAATCAATCAGGAAGAGCTTGTTACAATGACGTCCGATTCCCATAAGGAAATTGTCGGGCTTGATGTCACGATGAATGAACGATTTGCAATGGACATACTCAATTCTACCGATCATTTGATCTGCCAACATGAGTACTGTTTTGATGGTGAACCGTCTCGAGCAAAAATTGAAGAGATCTTCGAGCGAGGGACCCAATAGGTCCATGACAAGGACGTTGTGCTCTTTTTCTTGACCATAGTATCTAGAATAGAGAAGAAGGTGTAATAAATGTGCTTTTGGTAATTAATTATTGATCATACTAATATATTTCCACTTGTTCACTTTAAATGTATTCAATAATTTATTCATGTATTCCTTATTCATTTACAATATATTAATCTATATATATGAAAATTAATGCCACTTTTCGTTGTAATTTTATAAGTCAAGAACGGACTCACCTAGCCAAACCAAATGTTTAGGTTTTGTTCAGACTATTTATTAGATGGTTTATGTGAAGTTTGCACAAAATCGGTCGAGCGGTTCTTCATTTATCACATTTTTTGTAATAAATTAAATATTCAATAAATGGAGGATCATTTTGCTGTCAAATTGAAACTTTTTTCAGCGTTGACAGTTCCAGCATGTTGTTATGTCATTAATGTGGTCATTTCAATACTTATTTTATTTATTTATGAAAAAAATTTACTAAGCCCGCATACGGCGCCATGTCTTATAACCGATACCAGATACCAAGTTTATTTTGTATTTTGTATACCGCGCCATCTCTGATACCTGGAACGAAGCTCGGCATTGCAGATAGAGTAGAACAATGCTGCACAGAACTATTCCCGATCAGATAGAGTGGTGCAGAAAGAGTAGGTCAGATAGAGTAGCGCAGATAGAGTAGAACAGATGGAATAGTGCAATGCATGCAGTGCAGATAGAGTGAAATAGGGCTGCGCTAGAGATTTTTTTTGTTTTCTTTTCATTCTTTGAACATTCCTGTGCCTGAGTTTATTTATTTGGTGGTAAACTTTACAAGAATAATGCCCACAAGCTGCCTAAAAAACGATGATGAAAAATTTTAATTTAAGGTGACTTCTGAACCAGATAGTAAACATTAATTTTCTTCAACCAAAGCCAAATTCACCATCGAAAAAAACTGAATTTAATTCAACTAATAGATACATTAACACAACATTTAATAGGTATATTTAACAATTCAGAGGCGGTACGAAGTTCGCCGGGTCAGCTAGTAATATATAATATATATTATGGTTTTTAATTTACAAGAATCGAACTCACCCCAGGGCCGTAGCCAGGGGGGGGCATTGGGGGGAAATGCCCTATCTTTCAAATGATGATGAACTACCTTTAAAACACAACATGTGTTAAGATTTCTCTAGGAAATTTGAAAGAGTAGACAATGGAATGAATTGAAATCGAGTAAGTGCGAGGATAAGTCTTTCCGGAAACGTCTAAATGTATGCAACAATGTTTGACATTTGACATTTGCACAGAGGAAGTTTTTTCTTTCAAAAGAGAGCCAATGGCCCAAAGTGGCGCGAGAATCAGCGCCATTTTGTTCACTTGCCAGAGATGTTATTTATTGACAAGGTTCCTAAAGTTAATAATAGGTTGCCGGGAAATGAGTAACTTAATGGCGCATCTAGGGTGCCTTGGAGATTTTCATTATATTGAGGCACCCCAGATGACGTCATAAAGTTATTAGGCAACCTACCTCTCTCAAACAACATTGATTTATTGAAAAATTTGCCTTCGGGGCCATTTCCCCTCTTTTGTTAACTTATAAAAAATTTAAGGGGTGGGGGGGAAGGTATATGCCCTAGGTCAAATTTGTTATGCCCTATCACAAATTTGACTCTAGCTACGGACTCAAATTGGGAACATATTTGAGAAGCTTGACCTACAGGCTGATGTAAACTTAGTCCACAAGATTGTTCGAGTGGGAAAATCAGGAGCTGCAGAAAATACGAAGCCTCGTCCTTTAAAATTGATTTGTACAAATAGCGAAGTTGTTGACAAAGTGCTTCGTAATAAGCATAAAATGCAATCCACTCGGATAAATATAAACAAAGATCCCACCAAGCAACAGCAAGAACTAACCAAAAAGGCATGAGAGGAACTTAAAGCAAGGAAAAGCAATGGTGAGAACGTCATTATTAAATAAATTTTAACATAGACACCACCAATGATGAATTTTGACCTACCTATTTGGCATTCCACAAACAGTTGTTCCACTCGACATTGATCGACCATAACTCTTGATGCCATAATATGCTTTTTGACATAAATAAGAATACCGCCACCACTTGATTTGTTGCTCGTTTCCGGGGATCTGTCGCATCGAAAGGTATTGAAATCAGCACATCGAAATTCATTGTCATTCACACTTTGACATAGATTACTTTCCACAAGAATTAGAAAATCATAAGTTGTATTGTTTGCCCAGCGGATCTGAGTCTACGGAAGGAATTCGGACGTAAATGTGCCATGTTGTCACGTTTAATTATAGAAAAGCGAAAATACTAGGCATGAAGTATAGTTCATTTGAAAATCCATTTTTTAATAACAAAATATAGATACCAATAAAACGCTAAATATTTCAACGTGGTTGTTAGATCTATTCTTATTCTAATAACTTATTTCTTCAATTTTGTCCATTGTAAAAAATAAACATTTTCTAAAGATACCATCAGTTTTTGACAATTTGGCAAGCATCCGGCCTGGATGAACCTGATTGGTGGAGTTTTTGGCAGGATGGCCGTTGCCACGGTAAATCATGCCGTTGTCAATAATCTAACGTCACCTTACGTCTCGCTATTGGCCAGGGCTTCCGTCATTGTATCCTCCCATCTTGGAATATCGATTTATATTGAAATATCCAGTGGCGGGGGTTTGGTCATTTTCGATTTTCGTGTAGGAGTTGCAATACGATAACACTTCCAAAAAATTCCGCACGCAGCTGGGTATTTTTACAACTGCATTCCCCTTACCGTTGCCCCGTAGACACAGAGTCGCTGGGCAGACATTACAGGATACTGCAGTTACAAGTTCCTCCAATTTAGTACGTAGACCGCCATGTAATATACAGATAATGGGGTAGTTAGAGGTTTTTTTGTTCATTATTTGATGCAACCACAACAGGCTGACCTTTAATATATTTTATGTCATACCCGTACATTATTGTCTTTTTATACCTTAGATACCATCTACATAATTCATCACTTTATTCCCGTGCGGGCATAAAGTACACATTCTGGCCCGCGCGGGCATAATGTACCATTCTAAACATCAGGTTGACAATTCCGCCGCAAATGACGTCGTTTGCGTGTACGCAAAGTTGCAGCGATTTCAAATAGAGTCCCCCTGGTATGACATAAAAGTTTGTATGCACCACGGGTACTAATAGATATATACCCTCGGGCGACTTACGAACCCTCGGGCCAGAGGCCCTCGGCTTTGTAAGACTGTCGCCCTCAGGGCATAATCATCTACTTAGTACCCTTGATACATAAATAAATATTATGCTCGCGTTTTGCCGGCTTTTTGTAAAATGCCTAGGAAGTTTATAAAAAGCCTGAATTTTCATTATGCGTACGACATCTATATCCCGCCAGCCCAACAAAATTTGAGCTATGAGTTGCATTGTCAGGCTGTCGATGGGATATGTCGTACTTATAGTAGACATTCTGTTTTATTGTGTGGTGACTAAAATTTGCCTGAGGCTTTGTGGTCCAATGATGATTTTAGTGTCAGGGTTGAATGTCCATTGAGTTCAAATGCACTTACTGTTGCAGAATACTTTGGTTTTCTCAAATTGTATCAAACGAACACAATACCAAATAATAGGTCAGTATTTTTAGGTTTGGTGTTCTCAGATGTACCGGATTTAGTTGTCAGAAAGGCAAATGACATTATATTTGAAACCAGTAATCATCACACATCCTATGAGTGTATTTATCACCTTCAAAACAAGTCCAATGACAACTTGGTTATAGTGGATTATTACTGTGATTTTAGGAAGGCTAACTTCACAGGCTTAAATAACTATTTTGCATCAGTCTATTGGGAAAGAGTTTTTTCTGCATCAGATTTGAATATGTCAATAGGAATTTTTTATGAAATATTGGAAGAAGCAATAATAGCCTACTGAGGAAAACCACCTATTTAAATATTATTTCTTCAAATCTTAACTTTTGAAAAAGGGTTTGCTGAATAAAGGGTAAATGTTGGATGAACCTAGAGGCACCACAGAAAAAGCGTACCAAGGGGAGATAGGGAATACGAAAAGAGAAGAGACTAGAGAAGAAGCTGGGACTGGTCCTTTGGACGCGTGTCTGTGATTATTCATTATTCAATTTTCATTTTTATTTTGCATTAAATTGATTGTTCAATCCAATTTGTTATTAGTGTGTGTGTCCAGGTGCAATCACAGGTCAGTTGAATAATAATTGTTATTTTGTTTTTGAGAGCTCAATTATTTATACCAGTATAATTTTTTTCTATTTTTATGTTTTTTTTTGTTTGTTTATAACAATTTTTTATAACATGTGCATTGTTCATGTATTCAACAAAAATCGTTTCATGCTGTAAACAACACAGATAAAGAAGTAAATTAAAGCCCAAGAATTTATGTGCTGAGATTTTGATTTTTGGATTTAGAGTGTGCACTAGGGCCTTGTTGAATTTACTAACATTTTCCTACCCTGACGAGAGAATATCCTAGCAAATTGAAATAATCAATCTAGAGATATTGGCTCAAAAACAACTAAAGTCCGACAAATACCATTTTAAAGTCACGTTATATTGGTGGCAAAAAACGTATGCTCATTGATTATATCGTTGATATCACCTACAAAAAGCTACTGGTGGTTAATTACTGTTGAATTTTAGGATATGTTCCCACTAGCATTTCACAAACGTGTTTCTGAAGTAGCATTGACCAATCAGATGGGAATTTCAATACCTGGAATTGTTGCGAGACTCACTTTTGTCGCATCTGCTGTCCGTTGTAATACATTCTGAACTTGAATTGGGTACCCGTTTTCTGTTTGCTTTTTTTTTGAGTTGGAAAAAGGTTAATATAGTCAGAATTATTAGCTGTGTTTGTTCGTTGTATCATTTCCGAAAATAACTTTGACAAACTAATTGATGACAGTGACGGATTCTATTTCAGGTAAGAATATTATGAACAATAATTAGACATAAATTTTTTTCTCAATTTTACTATACCGC